CCCATAGGGGGCAGAGCGCACTGTGCTGTATGTGGACCATCCACGAGGCCCCTTCCCAGGCTAGGGGGCACTAGCAGCCTCTGGTGCAGCGCCAGACCTGGAACGAGCATTTCTGTGTGCGAGGGGGGGTCTCAGCAGGTGGGGGTCAGGGGACAGCTCACCCTGGCAGGTGCTCTCACTCGTGTGCGTGAAGTTGGCTTTCCCAGAGCTGGCCTCGTAGCCATCACTGCAGGTGCAGTAGTAACTCCCAGCCATGTTGGTGCAGTTTGTGTGGGGTCCACAGTTTACTCCAGCCAGTTCCAGACACTCATCCATATCTGCAGCACAAGAGGGGACGCTCTGTACAGGGAGATGTTCCCCGTATCATTCCCCCCTCCCCCACGCACTAAGCTGGGTGACGGGACCCAGGCGACCGGGCCCCTGGCAGCTTAACAATCACAGGCCTGATTCTCACCTACACTCAGGCGGCACTAGGCTGCTCTGGCAGCGGAACGGCCCCATGAGAATCCCCCACCCGGCAAAAGGGGCCACCCCAGCTGGTGTGGAGCTGCTGTCGGGGTCGTGCCCCCACCCTGCTCCTAGCCCCTGATGTAGGGACTGAGGCCGGGGTGCCCAGCACTGCAGCTATTCCCTGCCCCCCAGGGCCCATAGGGGGCAGAGCGCACTGTGCTATTTCCATGGCCCATACACAAGGCCCCTTCCCAGCTCAGGGGGACACTAGCAGCCCGGATGCTGTGTGCTGGGGCCACTGAGGGTCCCCTCCCCTCTCCCCAGCACGGAGTTTGCTCCATTGGTCTGTTTCTAACTCTGAGGGTTTATTCCCCATCCAAGCGCCAGGCACAGGGGTGAGCCCGGCCCCATGCTCTGCGGGAGCAGGAGAGCGTCACATCTCATCACAGCCTCGATGACAGCCTCAGGCCACTGCCAAAGCCGGCAGCAACCCCGGTGCAGCGCCAGGCCTGGAACAAGCATTTATGTTTGGGAGGGGGGGTCTCAGCAGGTGGGGGCCAGGGGAGAGCTCACCCTGGCAGGTGTTCTCACTCGCGTGAGTGAAGTTGGCTTTCCCAGAGCTGGGCTCGTAGCCATCGATGCAGGTGCAGGAGTAATTCCCAGGCGCATTGGTGCAGTTTGCGTGGGGTCCACAGTCTGCCGGGCTCGGGCCCTGACACTCGTCAATATCTGCAGCACAAGAGGGGACGCTCTGTACAGTCCTGGTAGGGAGACGTTCCTGTATCACCCACCTGTGCTGAGCTGGGTGATGGGACCCAGGCGACCAGGCCCCTGGGAGCTTAACAATCACAGGCCTGAGTCTCAGCTACGCTCAGGCCACACTAGGCTGCTCTGGCAGCGGAACAGCCACTCGAGAATATGGTGTTTTGAAAACTGTGTTAGCATCACAAGCTCTCACTTTACATCTGCAAGGGGCTTTCCTGGACCTGCTTGTGGGCTCAGGTGACAAGCATGTGATCTGGGGTTTTCAGCAGTGTGTCTGCCAAAGAGGCAGCCTAGAGCCAAGTGGGGTTAGTTGTGCCCATCTGCCTTCAGGAGCAGCCTGCTTTGTCTCTCTCTGTTCGGGGTCCTCGTGTGCTGGGGTTCTGGATTCTAAGAAATAACCCTGTGTTGACCTGCAGCCTGCCAGCGAGAGGATGTGATGCTTTGTGTCTAACTGTCTGTGTGTGCCACGAACATAACAGAGGGAAGAGGACCTTCCAACCCCTGTGTGACATTGCACTCTATATGGTTTTATAAAAATACGGGAATGAGTGAATATAATGTAACTGGAATATGCTTCATGCAAAAGGTCTCTTGTAAGGTATCATTACAAAGCTTATAATCTACTGTGTGTGTGTGAGTGTGATCATCCGATTTGTAGAAATGTACCACTCTTGTATCTGGGACTAGAAATATGAAATATAACTCTGAGGGCCTATTGTAATTATGCAAAGTGGGGGCCATTAATGGTGGTTTGGAATCTTGATGGCTCCCATCAACCAGGACAATTGCCTGGGGCTCTGTTTGCAGACAGGCCTTCCTGTGAGTCAGGCTGGGAGGAATGAAGGCTTGGGGTCTTAGAGTGACATGTGATCATGTCACATGAACTGGAATCCATCTTTAACCTGGTGCTTTTCCAGTGAGGGGGGGTTGGAAACCCAGAGAGAGACAAAGGATTCCCGCCTTATGCAAAAGATATATAAAGAGGTGGGACAGAACAAAGAGGGGAGAGCCATCATGAAGAGTCCCCTAGCTACCACCTGAGCTGGAACAAGAGCTGTACCAGGGGAAAGAATTGTGCCAGGCCTGGAAGGTTTCCAGTCTGAGGAAAAAACTTACTGAAGCATCTCTGAGGGTGAGATTAGCTGTATTCAGTTTGATTAGACATAGATTTGCGCATTTTATTTATTTTACTTGGTAATTCACTTTGTTCTGTCTGTTACTACTTGGAACCACTTAAATCCTACTTTCTGTATTTAATAAAATCACTTTTTACTTATCAATTAACTCAGAGTATGTATTAATACCTGGGGAAGCAAACAACTGTGCATATCTCTCTATCAGTGTTATAGAGGGCGAACAATTTATGAGTTTACCTTGTATAAGCTTTATGCAGGGTAAAACGGATTTATTTGGGTTTAG